ACTCAGTATCACATCAACCTGTTCCACTTAGTAAACTAAGAAACACTAACTGTGACATTTCCACATAAGTATTCTATTCCATTCCCCAGACTGATGTATATTAATGAGGAGATGGCATTTGAAATGCTTCTTCCACATCAGCATCTAATATGATCAAATTAGGAAATAGGATGATTTATTAAATTTTGTAGAGCTGAATTTTTTTATATCACTATATCTGTGGTTTCAGAAAGTGAGCTGTTACTTTCAATTTTTCTGCTGACAATGTGCCTATATTTCTCAGATGAATTATTGTGTTTAAAAAGATTGCAAACAACAAAATGTTATTAAGCAAATGCCAGTAAAACGAACTAAATCTATTTTAAAATTATTAATTTAATGTAAATGTGGTTGTTCTGCTGAAATTTAGTTTGTGATTTTACATTATTTGTACAGCCTTGTTTTATTGAAAAACAATTGTAAATCTATAGTATTATAGAGAACCTCATTCTTGATTCAGATTGCATTTAAAATAGAATAAAAAACTGCAGTGCAAACATTCATTTTGGATAAAAGAAAAATACTTAAAGCACAGAATATAATAATTAAGAGTTAACAGTCTGATAATGATTTACTGGCCTAACAGACTAGTTTACTAGTCTTAATTTATAATCTTGATTTCTGTAAGAAAACTACAACAATGCAGTACATAGTTCTTTAAAAACATATCAAATGAAAAATCTTGTGATTTTTAATCTGGAGTTAGCATTCTGTATTCAAACAAATAAACCATTATCTGGCCAAATCTGTTAAAACAAGGTAACTTCCTGCATTTGTACAAATTGCCCATCTCAGATTTAGCCAATGAAATTCCCTTCTCTCAAAAGTAAAATTCCATTTAAAAAGGTAGCCCAAATTACTTTTAGGAGAAAAAACAACTTATTTTAAATATTCTTGATGGCTAAATACGAACATGGGAGTATTTTTTTTTAATTAGGCAAATTTCTAATTTTTTAAATTAGAAATGTGACAGGCTCTAAGTAAAATAATATACTTATCAGAAAAAGCTTTTCAATGAACACCCAAATTGTTCTCTCCACTGTTAATCGATGTTAAATTTTACATGTTAATCAATGTACCAGCCATTTATATAACCTGAATGTAAGAATGGGAAGACAAATTATCTAACCTAAAACAGCACAAAAGTAAATCTATGAAGACCATATCATCATTTTGACAAATTTATAATTTATTTTGCTTTTATAAAGCTAGAGCTTTGTTCAAACAAATAAGTTAAAACATATTTTTCAAAAGAAACACAGTATAAAAACTGACATAAAAAATAGCAAGTGGACAAGATAAAGTATCTGCTGAAAATACACACCTGTTCAATTTGTAATGACATAAGACATTGGTAAACAAATAACTGTGTTCAACTCATCTACAGACAGGGCTTGTTCCACATCAGCAAAAATTTTACTGATATTTATTATGTACTTGTTAATGTTCATTCCGAAAAATGACCACTTATTAAGTTATTCAACCAGTTTATATGCCACTATTTATAGTCCACAAATGCATATATGCTCTTATAGATACAATTAATTGCTACAAATAACAAAGGTTTCTTTTCCTGACCTCTCACCAAAATGTACTTCAGTATAATTTAAATTTACTTTTTTCTTGTCCTCTACCAACAAGTCTGCCTATTTAAAATAGTTCATTAGATACTTGAAGAATTATCATGTCTCTCCACAGTCTTCTCTTGTCCAAGCTCTTCAACCAGCTCTTCCCTAATGGTTAGGATCATATCTAGGAAATCCAATCCCTTTCTCTCTCCTTCAACCTTTTGGAAAATGAAACAATTAGTGAGACCACAGAGCAATTTGTAGGATCTTGCAGTCCTAGCTGACTTGGTTTTCCAACAACCAAATAATAAAAATCTTCCATTATTACTTTTTCTCTCCTTATTAAAAATTCTATTATCCAGAGCGTTATCCAGAGCCCCTTTGGTTAATTTTTTTGCTTTGTGGATTGTTTTGTTTCCAGCCTTCTAGTTGTCATTGTCTTTTATATGTCCACCTTAAGGACAATCCCTACATACAAGCAGACTGCCTATTACTAAAAATGGCAGAAAGTGTTCTCTTTCTTTGAGAAAGTGCTGAAACTGCACAGTGCTCTCAGGAACCGCTGAATCCATATACAGCTGAATCTATGTACATATACATTTAATATACAGCCTGTTTTCAGGGGTTTCTGAAAGCACTGTGCAGCTTCAGCACTTTGTTGGCTCAAGGAAGGACAATGCTGTCTGCCATTTTTAGTAATAGGTAATCCAAGCTCTGACTTAAATACAAATTGAACTTAAAAACAGAGTTAGGGAACAGAACTTGTTCTTAACTTGGGCACTGCCTGTATCTCCTTTCCTGTTGATTGGCCTATTACTTTTGATTAAGTTGTATCCATCAATTCTTGTGTTCCTTCATCAGTTTTGTCCCATCAATAATACTTGTTAAGTTGTATTTGCCTTCCTGAATTAAGACTCATTTTTCCTATTTTCCCTGCATGCTTTACAAAGAAAAATTCTTGAGTTTTATACCTTGACTTTTTCCTGTATTTGTTTTCACTCCCAGGGTTATTCTCAGTACTTTGCATTGTTACTACCATATTTTGCGGAGTATAAGACGCACCTTTTCCCCCCCTAAGAGGCTGAAAATTTGGGTGCGTCTTATACTCCGAATATAGCTTTTTTGAAGTTTTTTTTCAGTCCTAACAAGGCGTCAGCCGAGTGAAGCGATCTCCCCATGCTTTGCCTGCTTTTCTCATTGCTGCTTCCTCTCAGCTGTGCCTTAGAAGCTGTTTTTTATCCCCAAGCAGGGGATAAAAAACCAGCAAACTAATGTGCTGAAGCTGACCAGACTAAGGATGCTAGCCAGATGAATACCTGGTAGGCAGATTTCTTTTTCCTATTTTCCTTCCCAAAAACTAAGCTGCGTCTTATACTCCGGTGCATTTTATACTCCGAAAAATACGGCATTTTCCAAACTCTTGTTTTCCCTTCTCCAATATTCAGTTTAAGGCTCTCTAAATCAGGTTTACAAAGCACCTTTTATACATTCTTCCCAGTTTTCATGAGTGCCTCTCTTACCAGAAGTCACTCATCTCAGAAATAAGACTCATTATCAAAGATGCACCTTTGAAGAATGTGCTTCAGGACATGTTGGGGGATATACAAAGTACACTATGGAAGGATTTGCAAATGTCTAATAATACAGAGGTATGAGAACATTGCTTTTCTTTAATGCTGTAGTGGTATTACGGTAAATGTGTTAACACTGCAAACATATGCTGAGTCAATCATCTGCACCCTTCAGAAAAGCATTTGGGGGGAAAAACTGATATTCTGGTACCCTCAAATGGTGATGCATCATGGTTTCATTTGTTAAGTTCTTGATTTATTATAATTTTTATAATAATTTTTGTGTTTTGTGTTATTTAAAAGCTCATCCAAGTCTTTGGAAACTGAGTAGCATATAATCAAAGAAATGCATACTGCAAATTTTTACATTTCAATGTCTCAAGAGAGACCACACCCTAATAAAAATAGCTAACATATAGCTATGGGTATGAATGAAGAGGTTTACAACTGCTGCAATCATTGAAATTCCAGACTAGCACATAAGATTATATTTTCATCCAAATGATAAAACTAAAAGCATTCACGAGATCTGAATGCACTCTATCTTGATTTTGCTCCTCCATAAAATTATAACTTTTTAATAAGCAGTATACTGAAGTCCTGAATACAAAAGCTGGATCTCACCAATCCTGTGATACAAAATAAATTCAGGTACTTTATAGTATTCATTATCACTACATTCTTGCAACAAATGATTCCTCAAGCTATCATCATAATTAATATTAAAAATCTCTATTTTATTTAACATGTACTTAATAAATTTGTAGGAAGGACCGGTGGCTCAGTGGCTAAGACGCTGAGCTTGTCGATCAAAAGGTCAGCAGTTCAGCAGTTCGAATCCCTAGTGTCACATAACGGGGTGAGCTCCCGTTACTTGTCCCAGCTTCTGCCAACCTAGCAGTTCGAAAGCACATAAAAATGCAAGTAGAAAAATAGGGACCACCTTTGATGGGAAGGTAACAGCTTTTCGTACGCCTTTGGCGTTTATTCATGCTTGTCACATGACCACGGAGATGTCTTTGGATAGCACTGGCTCTTCGGCTTTGAAAAAGAGGTGAGCACCGCCCCCTAGAGTCGGGAATGACTAGCACATATGTGCGAGGGGAACCTTTACCTTTTAATAAATTTGTATTGCCACAAAAATAAAACATTAGATATCCAATCACTGTATAAAATGCATATTTTCAGAATGAAGTTTTCTATTTTTATATATTATTAACTATTTTTCTGAAATAATTGTAATATAAAGAAAGATCATGATTCTGCAGAACATCAATGTTTCATATGATTATGATTTCATAATTTCAGCTTTCATACAAATTACTTGGTACTCTTATTTTGCTATATTTATTGTGGATTTCAGGCTCAGAAAATATTTGCAGTTTCATAACTCCATTGATATCACACAAAACTCCCAAGTATTTTTTTTAAATGAAAACTACTTATGAGCATTGGTAAGTACTTTTTACTTTATCTTAAGCAAAATATTCAAATGAACACATTTTCTAGCAATACCCAGCAACATGATTACGTTTTAACCTGATATTACCTATATATGCTATCACCATGTACTTTGTATAATGGATGTCGTAACAAAACTGATCTTATAGCAAGTCTAAACAATACATATGAACAAAGGAACTCCAAGTTAAACCACAATATAAAAAGTATATAAAAGTCAAAATACTTCAATCTTTTGCGGTTACATTTATAATTATGAAGTTAACATAAAATCACTAATTAATGGATATTAAGACTTGGGAATACAAAGTGAAAAACATTTAATATGGGCAATTGTTTTTCCAGGGCAAAACTGTCATACCTTCTTGATCTGCTTTTTGATCTTGATCTCTGAGACCGATATGACTTTCCTTGTGCTCTTGATCGGCTACGACTCCGTTTTCTTTTGGACCCATACGAAGAACTGCTGCTTGATCGATGCCGTCGCCTCAAATAGATATCAGCAGAAAACTCACTTACAATGAATTGTTGTTGGTTTTTTGCATAATCACATAAATTAGTCATTATAGTAATTATGGTAAAAAAAAAAAAACCATGTACAGCCCAAAATATATATAAAGTAAGCAAAAATAGTTATTCAAACTTATTTACTTAGGCTAAATCCAACCTATCAAAACAATATGCAGGTTCCAGAAGACCTCTGGACAACTCAAAAAGCTTAGAGATTTTTTAATAAAATGATAAACTATCTAAAGATAAATTTTAATAAAATGATGTAATGTTGGTCACTAGAAGAATTATTTAAAATATATAAAGGTACTTTGAATGTATGTTGGAAATGTAATTTATCATGCTGAGTGAACATGTAAAAATGCTTAAAATTTTTGAATTCAAATATGTAAATTAATTCAGGTGACGTTAAAGATAATATACAATAGAAACCAGAGATTATCCCTTTGGGAGTGATGGACACACAGTTGTAAAAACTCATGGAACTTAGTTTTTATGTATAATAGCAAGAAGATTTTCATATGCACAAGATTTGGAAAGATTTGTCATTGCCTACAATTGAAGAGTGAACAGTAATGAAGTTGGCTGGAATGGCAAAATTGATAGCTTTAATTAAAGAAAAGACATTGATTACTTTTAATGCTGACTAGAAGCTCCACTGGGTCCCTACAGTCACTCATCCAGCCAAGGGAGAGATGTGGCTGGCTGTAGCACGTGCTAATCAGCTGAAGCTTGCAACCCTCTAGTTTCCTTCCCTCCCAGCTACCATGGCAGATCAACTTTGCAACTTGCAAACCTGTCTATACTGTAACTTCTGGGCTCAAGGTTCCAAGACAATCCTTTCAAGCTTGCACAGGGAATCAAGAAGACAAGCAACAGAATGCACTGTCTTCATCAGCTTCTGTATGGCCTAAATGTAAGATATTTTATTTGCAAAAATTATTAGAGGCAGACAAAATCATCGAACTTTGTGTGATACTGTCCAGAAAAAGCAGCAGGGGTCTGAATATGCCCCCTCACAACCTAACTCAGTAAAGCAAACCATGAGCTTTGCAAATACCCTGGGTGGAAAAAACAGTGACTTTGCTGTACATATTAACAGAGCAAAAGTGAGCATCAAATGATGCTTTTTCTCATTTTTTTTACATATTGTGACCCGTGTTCAGTTATTTTATTCTACAAATATAACATATAAAACCACTTAAAAGTAAAACAAAAACAAATGTAAGATTTTTACTTTAATACATCTCAGGCTTGAAGGATATGCATGATCTATAAACTGTATCAATCAATATATCCTCAAGAAATATATATTTGAAACTCATATAGCATATTTTGTTGCAGTAACTGTGTAGGGATGAAGCATTGCCTGTATTGTAGAGATATCTTTTTGGACACTTACTGGCAATGAGATGCTACTGATAAATTTTCAGGTTGAACATGGACCTTCTACGGAAAAAACTATGTACATTTCATGGATATTAGTTTTTTAATAAAGAAAAGGAAAACATCCTGACATTAAAAGTTTAATAATTGTCAAAACTTCGTAGTAAAACCTTTCCTCCAAATTTAAAAACTTAGATCTAATTAAAACTGAATCAATGAATATTGTAAAGATTTAAGCTCTTTTCACTTTATAACATAAAACTATTCTCCACTGTGATTCATAATACTTTCATCAGTGCTTCATATGGAGAATATAATGTGGCTTCAGAGACAAATTAGTTCACAGCATGCATCCTTGTTCCTCCAAGTATATACCATATACTGTTCAGACTGCAAAACAGCGTAACGAAGACAGTATGTACATATACTGCTTACTCCTAGAACATCAGAGATGTAATAGAAGGAAATATGCTACTGCAGGCATATTAATAGACTTTTGATAAAATTTGAAGCAAAGGAAATTGGGTAGCAATAAAAACAGTACATATGCATATCCACTGCACACACACAGACACTTACACACCACTCTAGGATATAAAGTCAAAATTTTGTTACTGATAAAATCATTCTGGAATTAGAGAACATTAGTTGATAAATATTTTCTTACTGTATTTGAGTAAAATAAATAACACATTTTCCACAAGAACCTTTCTCTGGGTGCTGCTTTTTGTTGTTTTCTTTTTAAATGTTTTAACAGCGCCCAAAGTCACTGGTAGTTGGGCAGCATATAAATTTAATAAATTATAGTTGGCTGCACAATCAGATGTTTAAATTGGATTTGGCATTTCTTTCCTCCTAGCAAATCCTTCCCAAGGACCTGGGATAGGCAGATATTGATGTCTGATGATGTTAAAGGTACTATTACTTTCTCTATTTTATGATCCCACCAGTTCTTGCTTACAGGCAAATAGTATTTCTTGTAGATCTTCCAATGCACCATTGTGGCTACTTTGTCATGCTGTTGTTTGTAGTCAGTCTGTGTGATCTTCTTGCAGTATCTAATTAGGTGGCCCATTGTTTCTTCAACTTCTTTGCAAAGTTCATTGCACAAATAGATATTTAGATTAAATTTGACATTTCTTTCTATCATCTATCTATCTATCTATCTATCTATCTATCTATCTATCTATCTAGTCCTTCCCAAGGACCTGGGATACAGAGATGTAATTGTTTGATGGAATTAAAGGTATTGTTGCAATATGTAAGCTATATTATTATCAAAAAGCAAAAGCCTTAGTCATTCTCTGATACAAACAACCATCCCAATCTCATTCTGTCCCAGCACTTTCTGGCTTTCAAAAGGCTAAATACCTAAATCACAATAATGTGACCATAGAGATGCTGCAATGGCCAAACTTCAAGGACTGATTGTAAGTCTTATTATTCAGTGACATCATAACTTTGAATGATCATTGAATGAGTCGTTAGTAAGCAAGGACAAGCTGTATGGATTCAGTTCTTTCTCTAAAGATGCCATTTAAAAAAAGTTAATTAGGCAAATTATATAAACTGACACAAGTTATATGAATGCTACAATTTATACATCATTTTTACCAGACCACATCATAAGATCAAATACTGAACTATACCTGATGAATATTTTAAAAGTTTCATTTACCAACAATTTTAAAACTGAAGTAATATATTTACCTTTTTTCATATGAATGTGAACGAAATTGGACATCTCGAGACCGTGATCTTGATTTTCTTCCTGATTTTTTATGGCTGTAACTTCTACTATCTGAGGAACTGCTTGAAGATGACCTTTTACGATGTTTCTTTTTTCTTCTGCTTTTAGTCTCTTCTTCGGTGTCTGATGAATGGCGACCCATTTTAGCAAGCTAGTTTTTACAAAAATTACAAAACTGTAAAAATTAAAAAGTATTGTACGATTAATAGAAAAGTATATCAATACCAAATTTCCACTCACTGGTCTAAAATTGAAACCAAAATCATATCTACTATCTACTGTTACTATGTGAGTAACACTGTTCTCCAAAATATAATCATACAAACTTTTCCACTTTGCTCTATGTAACCTTAAAAAAAAAAAAGAAATAAACTAAATGATCTTAGAATGTAAGCTTGCACGCTCTTAAATCCTACTAAGCTCAACACAACTTTATAAAACAGATAGACCAATTTACATTTCATGTAATGCAGTTAACTGCATTAACAAATAATTGTTAATGCAGTTCTAGCAAAATCTTATGAGGTACAAAAAGGAAAATAAACATTACTGGGAAAACTAAAAGAATTTGGTGCATTAGCAGATTTTAAGATCAACAAACAGAAGGTGAAGATGTTAACAAAAATATGTAAATACATCTAAATTTGTGTGGCAAGGGAAAAAACCCACAAGTTAAGGTATTACAGGTGCAAAGGAAAGGAGGAGGATTGCTTCTACCTGAATTGAGATTGTATTCTGCGGATTGGGTTTGGTGCTGAGAAATAGAAGGCTCTCAGATTCAGAACAACACAACCTGATATTTGGTATTGATATTTGTAGTATGACAAAGTCAAAGTTAATGTAGATTTTAAAAATCATTATGCTGGACATGCCATACTGAGAATAAAGAATAGATATAAACCCAAGTTGTGCCCCAAAACACCTTTGTGGCTGTCAGCACAAGAAACATTTTATAGAGAGAAATAATAGGCAAACCCAAATGGGTAGCTTACTGAGAATTTTGTCAAGGATGGGATACAAAAAATAAAAATCAAGAAGAATTGGTGGCAGAAATAAATAGCTGGCAATGTTTTTTGTATCTACACTTATTAGAAAGATTTAAAGCACACAAAAGAGTTTATGGTTTTTCAATACTCTTAAGAATGAAATAGAATTATGTGCAAATGAAGTATATGCAATTGCTAAAATGTATAAATTTTGTTTTTGAAATTTGAAACAGAACAAATGAAAGAGTGTACAATAAAGTGGTCTAAATGGTTTTGTTATAATATACAGATGGAACAATGGAAAAATATGTAGCTGAAAGGATTGAAATGTACATATTATAATCCGTAGCTGGTGGACAAGTAAAAAAAAGCTAGAAAAAATTGGACTAAAATACATATACCAATTTAGTGGATTTAAAGATTAATAGAAAATGGAGGCCAGAGGTCTTTCTTTTGGGATTGGATGGACAAACTGTTAGAAAAAAAAGTGTCATGAAACGTTTTTATACAGAATAGAATAACTGCAGAGACACTACTGTATGCCCAAAGATGGAAAGATTCGGCATAAAACCACAACGGTTGGTGGAAAATGATGGAACTTTTCCAAAATGGCTAAATTGACGTCTTTGAGCAGAGAACCAACAATATCTGTTTATTTATGACTGGAAACCCTTTATGGACTTTTCGCATAAAAATACAAGTATGAGTGTGTGTGGTGTGGTGTGTGTGTGTGTGAATGTGAAATTAAGGCCAACCTAGCATGGGAAACAGAAAGGGATGGTGGTTATTCAAAAGGTTTAAATGGCAGGAGGACGGACCTTACACAAACCGTTCCTCCCCTTCCCCAAACTGGACCCCAGATGAGTTGGACTGGCTTCTGGCGACGGGGGTGAGGTGGGGGGGAAACAGGCTTCAGCCCAATTCAGGCCGAATATCTGAGACCCCGATCGCTGCTTTGAAAGCAAAGGCGGCTCCGGGCCACCTTTTGTACCCAGAGGGCTTTTCCCCAGCGCTTCGGAGAGAAGCGACCGCAGAATCCTCCCTGCCCAGCAACTCTCTCCACCGCCTCAGCTGACGGAGGAAAAAGACGGGGAGCCGAAGGAAAAACACCGGGACGTGGATACCCCCCCCCCATAACAGAGAAGAAGGAACGGCCCACAAACCGCCAAGGCTACAACCATTGCCCTTTATTATAGGGCTTCCCAGGCTATTAGACCGGATTCTGCCTTCTCCTATATTCCTGAAAACCAGAATATGAGGCGTTATGCCGGCTTTTTTAAAAAGCTCCCCTCTTTCCGGAGCCCCACGGTAAACCGCACCCCGACACATACACAAAAACTCCCCCGCAACCCGAGTCCGTTTACCTCAGGCGCCCGCGAGCCCGCTGAAGGCCTCCGCGCTGCCGAGCTTCCGTAGTTGGAGCTCAAAGCGCCTTCCTTTCCTCCAGACCGCCAAGCCAGACCTTACTAAGCCATCACAACGCTCATCCATCCACGTGCCCAGGCGAGGAGCGCCGAGGTTATCGATCGAAAAGGCCGGCGTCTGCGCTTGGTGGCGGCGCGGCTTTTTTGCTTGGCAGCGTTGCTTTTTTTTTTTCTTCCCTCTTTTGTTTTGGTTTCCCCCCCCCTCCCCAAACCACCTCATTCTAATGAACACATTTTAAAAGTTTAATTAACGTCAACGTCAAGTTTTTTTTTTATTTTTTATTTTTTTATACACCGATTGATGGTTTTGTTTTGGTTTTTTTGTCTGGCCTTTCGTTATGTCCGGTTTTTGTGCACCCATGCGTCACATCTAGAAGGGGGTGGGGGTGGGGAGAAAGAAATCCCGAATAAATCGCAGAGTTCTGTCTGTAGAAACTGCACTATGATTAAAATTGAAAGGATTTATCTGCAAACTGCTTTTAAGATGCTGTTTTTCTACAGTGGGAATGAAGGGTTTTCGGAGTTTAAGCGCATACTACTTTCCCAGTTCAAGCTATGTTAAGGTTGGTGGAGATAATTGCTAAAGGAGGGAAAGTTAGAAGCTCAATTGGAGAAGGTGAGAATGAAATTGATCGCTTTTCATTTAAATCTAGAACAATTCAAACAGTTCTCTGTCACACATAACTGCGGACCACCTCCCCCCCTCCCAAAAACACCCCCCACCATTTGGCATAAAAATGGGATGCTTTTGTTTCACAGAGTAAAGTAGTTGCTGTTTACTCTGAGTGACTTCACGGCTTGGGATATGTGCGATAGAGCTGTTCATTCATTCACAGGGAGCTGAAATGCTATTCAAGAAGGCAGTGGAGGTCCTGGTTTTCTGCTCTTGGGTCCATCACTACTTCCTCCCACCAATCATGATCTTGGAAATAAACTACCCACATTAAATGCAGGCCAATCCATGTTCCAGTGTCAAGGGTTCAGGTTTAAACATTTGAAAGCCACAAATCTTCATTTTCAGACTTTGGTTGTGATTCTAACCATGTTTGACCGTTTCACACTCAACCGATTTGGATTTGCAAGAAGAGCAAACTCTGTTTCTGACAGTTAATTTACACTGCATAAGTGTGCTCAGAAGTGAAGTATTTCAATCAATGATACATAATAAGAAAATGTTAAAGAGCTTCAGGTTCAAGTATTCATTCTTGTATTCGTTTCTCTGGGAATAACTCGGTCCTGGGAACTACCGGTAAATGTCAACTTTTGGTGAACATAGCCAAAATTGCACTGTAATGCTACACTCATATACATGCTTCCCTATGTAGCCCTCACTAAACCCAGAACAGTTGATTACTAAATTGGATATCTGAGTTTACACCTTAATGTCCGAGTTAGAATTACTTATACATATGTTCGACTGAATTGATAGATTGGAAGCATTTCCTTTTTAATTCCTAATTGTGTACCCCCAGTGGAAAGGTTATTTTGCAATTTCACTAATGTAAAGCAGACATTTCTAGCTCTCACTAATGTGACGTCTGCAATTTTTGTATAGACTCCTCAATTCACTGGTCACAGTGGGATTTATTTCCAAGTCAAATGCATAAAATGATACAATTTCTTTTTTTCATGTATTTAAAAATCATTTTAAATTAACACATTAATTCATAGTTGTTTTGTTTTTCAAATAGAAACCTATTTATTTTCATTCAGTAATTAAATGACACTGTCAGAGTCACTTTACTGGAAAGTTGTCCCTATGTATTAGTTTTCTTTAATGCAGTGAAGGAATGTACACTAGAACTTATCTGGAGATGTAGGAAACTTGAATTAAATCCTGTCATAGTCACTGAAAAAGAAGGAAACGCCAGGATTAGTTTAAAAAGAATTTGAATTGATATCCGGAGCCCCCATTCATTTCTCAAGATTTCTTTCAACTTGAATAGATGGTGATTTTCAAGAGATGCCTTTAAGATTCAAGAGTTAATATTTCTACTTTCCAGTTAGAATTATATTCATATTATTCTTTTTTACTTGTACAGTGAAAAGCAATTTCTGTGTAGTCTGTAAAACATGTTACTCACAATTTTGTGGTTTTCTAGGAGTCTGTATCACCCCTTTCATCTGAATATGAGCAGATTTAACTGAAAGCCATAAAAAGAGTATAAGATATTCTGACAATTTTCTAATAAAGTATTTAAAAGCTTAACTTTTACTTCCTAGATCTAAAACACATTTAGATACATTGATTCCTTATAATGTACATGTTGCTTATAACATTAAATTATCTGAGAAAGGGGGTAATATATAAATATAAAATAATGTAGAAAATATTTGGAATCATTCCATCCAAATGGAAAACTTTGCATTCTAAGTATTAAACAACAAAATGTACTAATATTAATCAAGGGAGGGGAGCCAAATAGCAATAAGCATTTCAATTTGGCTTTTAGATAGCGCCTAGGATTCCTGGAGTATGCAAAAAACAAACAAACAAAAAACCACCCCTCCTTTCTGGGCAATATAATTCTCAGAACCTTTCAATTTACTCCCATGAGTAAATTCACATCTCTTCGTCCCTCCCCCATAGGAAGTATTTGGAATCGGACCTCTTCCTATTTATTTACAAAGAAAATGTCAGGGGCACTTGATCTTATTAAAAAAAAATGGACATGGGCTTGCATCTAATGATTGCCTATTCGTGGATAGTAAATCCAGATTCTCTCAAATGATCCCATTAACTCACGTTGCAACTATACAAGAGATGATACTTTCTCCCCTTTTAACCTTTACCCTCACCAGCAAGTCAAAAATAGGACTGTTTTTCCCCTTACATCTCCCAGTTAAAAAGTTCCCAAAATGAGAATCTAGACTCCACTTGAATTTTCAATCTAGAGACTGTTTGGTACCAGAATCAAATAGTAGCAAAAAGGAGGCCTCAACAAGATCAAGCAAGTTGGGATCTGGTTAGTATTTGGATGGAAAACCACCAGGGAATCCCAAGGCAATAAGCTAAAAGCGGGAGCTGGTAGGGGGGAAAATGCTGTGAAGAGAGCAGTGGCTGTCTTGCCTTCTCTTGCCAAGAAAACTTCATGAACCTCTCCGAGCATCACGCCTGATTTGGATGACACTTTATTATCAAAAAGAGAATATAATAGAATAGAATTCTTTATTGACCAAGTGTGATTGGACACACAAGGAATCAAAAAGAGACAAACTGGACTTCTTTCCTAGTAAAACTAGCGCAGTGAGAATCCAGAGTGGGTTTGTTCAGTCGGGTGTCAACGACTCTGGAAAACCCGAAGACTTACTGGAGAATGAACCCAGCTGCAATTGTGGCAGGTAAAAAGGGACGGAGTATCAATGAGTGGACGGGGCAAAACTGGGGTGTGTGTGTGTGTGTGTGGGTACCCGAAAGGCTAATTCTGCCAGAAAATGCGCCTCTTTTGTTTGCTTCTCTTCCACCAGCCCCAACCTTCCGAGTGCCCGATTAGGCCACAACTGTTGCGGTCGTCTTAAGCTCGCTGCCTGGCAGCCGCGGGGCAGGGCTCTCAAGGGAGCCACCGCTTTGGGGCTTGCCCTACAGACGGTTCTCCCCAGCGAGCTCTGCTCTTCTGCCTCTTCCCGAGGTCAAGAGCTGCGGATCCGGGCATTGGGATGGGGGGGAGAGCCGAGTCGACCCAAGAGAGGCAGGTCTGGTTTCAAGAGAGGGTCCGTCTCGGGGGGGGTCGGCGGGTTCTTCCTCCGGCAAGCGGTGGCCAGTCGCGTCCTGGCTGGCTTGTCGGCCCGGAGCGCTTCCAAGGAGACGTTTGGCCAAAGCGCTCTCCTTTCCCTTGTGGCAGCCACCCGCCCGGGTGAACTCCTCATTTCAGCCCCTCCCCTGCAGATCCAGCCCCCTTCCCTCCCCCCGGCGTTTAACTAACTCAGGACACCAGCGCAGGATCCATGCCTAATTAAATTAATTAGGGCTCCTTGTCAATCCTGGATTAATGGCCGAGAGAGAGCGCGCGCGAGAAAGCCCGGCAGCCGGATCTGGAAAGGGGGCGAGGGGCGGGGTAGGGGGGGGAGAGAGAGAGACGGGGAACTTCTCTCTCTCCCCCACCCCCCACCCCTTCCCCGCCTGGCTCCTTTTCTCTTTCGGCGGTGCGCCTGGGCTGCTCTAGGAGAAGGGGGTTCATTCCCAGTACCAAAGGGGAGGTTATTTGCTCCAAACGAGGGGTTGGCTCTGCAAAGTATAAATAGTGGGGACTTCAATCACCGAAGCCCAGACAGATCGGAACTCTTCGCGGGGAGAATTGTCAAAGGCCGGTTTTTTACAAGCTTCGCTCGGGGTTGGGAAACCTCCGCTCCCATTTAACGCTCCAGCCAGCCAGCCAGCCCCTCTGCGGCTTTTCTCTCCCTTCCCCACCCACCCTCCCCCCCTTTTTTTCTTCTCCTCCCACTCCCCCTCCTCCCGACCCCCTTGATGTGTTTATTGGGGGGCTCGGAGCAGCCAGAGGAGGCAAACGAGGGGGAGAAAAAAAGAGCCCAAAGAAGAGCCGGCGATGGAAGAACTTACCGCTTTTGTCTCCAAGTCGTTTGATCAGAAAGTGAAAGAGAAGAAGGAGCTGATCACGTACAGGGAGGTGCTGGAAAGCGGACCCGTCAGGGGAACTAAGGAGTCCGGAGGCTCCAGCGAGGCCAGCGCGGAGGAGAGCGGCAGCCCGGCGGCCCGGGGAGCTGGTGGAAGCGGCGGCTCGGGAAGGCGATCACCGGTGCGAGAACTGGACATGGGCGCCGTCGACAGGAATCGAGACGCGGACACTCCTAAACTCAGCGAAGGTAAGAGCCCCGGCTTGTATGGGTGGGGTGGGATGGGGGGCAACAGGCGAGGCTGGGGACCAGGCGGGGGGCTGTCGGAGATGTGGGCTTGGGGTGGCAGGGAGAGCAAAAGGAAAAGGCGCGCCTAGCTGAGCGCGCGCGCGCGCGCGCGTGTGTTTGCGTTTCCACGCTTGCGGGTTCGCTCGGAAAGCCCCGCCGAAAGATCCGCGTTGAGTCCGGACCGACAAGAAAGCGGGCGAGGAAACTTGGGGAGAGCAAAGGATGAAGCCGGGCGGTCCGATCTTCGGTGCCTTCAATTTCGCTCTCTCGACAAACATGGCAAAGCGCTGAGAATCTTGAAAACTAAACCCCATGAAAAAAAAAGAAAGAAAGAAAGAAAGAAAAAGAAAGAAACCCAGTCCGGCCATCTCCCAGGGAGGTACGGTTCCAGATAGCCGGGGGTCGGCGGAAATGGTGCGGGGGGGGAATTCTACCTGTGGATTTTTGTGGGGATCGACCGTAGATCCCTTTTTGACAGAGATGCTGGTTAGGTTGGCTAACTGAGGTTTTCCTCCGGTCCGCGTTGCGTGCCTGATTTACCGTGAAGGTTTGTTTAGGGTTGTTTTTCAGAGAGATATTTTTATATGGGGGAGACTGGCACGCACAATGCTCCAAAGTTTTTTTTACCGCCAACATGGGGGGTCCGATTGCTCCTCACGTTACTTTTTTTTCAAAACGTTTAGCTCCCTGAGAGGGAAAAAAAAGGTATAGTAGGTCACTCTGAAGTCCATCTTTAAGTTTTAAAATATTTACGGCTGCAAATGAATTCGCTTCCACGAAGCGATTCTTCGATATTTGCAACGTAAAAAACAAAGGCGGGATTAAATAAATCGGCATATTAAAAAGAGGATCGGAAAGCTTGAAGCGTAGCCATTATTAGTGCATCGAATACGGTGCACAATAAAAGTAAAGAAAATTACGTTTTGTCTTTCACAAAGTACACTTCCAAAAAGTGTTCATTTGAAAGACGCGATTTATAATCGCGTTGTAAAAGAAACCTTTAATCAGAGGCAGCGTTGAAATCCGAAGAGGGGAGGCTTCTTGCAGCTTTATTTTCTGAAGCCCTTCACGACCTGTCTGCAGTTCTACTGAAAAGAAGAAACCGCAGCGGCGTCAAGGAAGAAAAACGAATCTTAAGCAGGGCCGTAGACCTTCCTTTGCTTATCCAAAGAACTCGGTGACTTTCAACTATATTTGAATATCTGTGTGTGGTTTGAGTCAGCGAGTGCCATATTCGCGGAGGGGAGGTGGAGGCGGTTTTTTTTTCTCTCTTCTTCTTCCAACCCTTTTGTATAACGCAAGTAGCTCCTTCCAGATCGGAACTGGATTGAAAACCTGAGCCGGAAATGATTTGCTAAACAAATTCCGAATATGGTTAGAGAGGGAAGCGCAGTTGAGATAAACAAACTTCGGCGAAGCGATGGGCAAAACCGTCCAGGGAGAAACCAGGCCTTTGAATTGGGAAAGCCCCGCGGTGTGACTAGATAGCCTAGCTCGGCCAAGTAAAAGCCGGGCCTGGTGTCCAAAGTCAAAGGTTTCTGCCTGCGCGCGGTCGGCTGCAGAGGCGGAAAAAATGAAATAAGAGGGAAAGATTAAGACCGACTCTCTCTCGTTATAATTAATAGCAGCAGGCCTTTGTCGCAGGAATGTATAAACTTCCAAATTCCCTACGTGGATCAGTTTTCATTTTCATCTGGAATGGGGTGGGGGGGAGAGAAAAACCAGGACAAAGAGGAGGCGAACGGGGTGGGATACGGTTTAAACTTTTAGACATCAAAATAGGACCGAGTTGTTATTTTGCAAAGATTTCGTTTTTGAAGGGACATTTAAAAAAAAATTTCTCTACGCAAAGAAAACCAAGGATAGTTTCAACTTCCCCAAATAGACCGAGGAAAGGTTGCGCGTGGCAGATGCCGCCTGTCTCCCGCACCTGCCGCAAGGATTTCTCGAAAACCCGCCAGTCTTGGAAAAACCAGGCGGATTAGGTAGCTTCCAACGCGCGTGGCAGTTGAGTTCCCTTCCTAAAGAGCCACCCTATCTCAGAAAGGCCCAAGTGGAGTGATTTTGGGCGGGGGGGGGGGGGGGGGGGGGAAAAAAAAAAAGACTGCCAATTATGTCCAGACCCCGAAAAATTCCTCCCCCCCCCCCCCCCCCCCCCAACTTCAGAGACGCTCGGATATTTTTTCGGGGTAATTTTCCCCCCTCTTCGATCCAATCATTCTTCAGATCCTCTTTCCCAAACCCAAAGATCTGGCATTCATGTCTCTAAAAGAAAAGTAGCTCTAGAGTCTAGAGACTCTACTTACTAGTCTTTCTAAATTCAGTTTTTCAACCCCTTTGGCCTCTGGTTCTGCAGAAGATTGGGGATGATTGGGGCAAGCGAAAGGGACCTTCCAATTCCATTTTTTTTAAAAAATTGATTTATATGCCCCCCCTTCTCCGGTGACTCAGGGCGGCTTACAATGCGTTAAGCAATAGCCTTCATACTTTTGTATATTTATACAAAGTCAGCTTATTGCCCCGACAAACTAGGTCCTCAATTTACCTACCTTAGAAAGGATGGAAGGCTGAGTCAACCTGGAGCCTGGTGAGATTCAAACTTGCAGTAATTGCAGACAGCTGGTGTTAATCACAATGCTATCAGTCTGCTGAGCCACCAGGCCCTTTGCAGAACTCGAGGTGTTTTCCTTAAATATTCCTAAGAAAGCCTTAGAGGGAAAGAAAAACTGGTGTGTGTGTGTGTGTGTGTGTGTGAGTGAGAGAGAGAGAGAGAGAGAGAGAGAGAGAGGGAGGGAGGGAGAGAGAGAGAGAGAGAGACAATGAATCTGATTTGTGTGTAATTCGTTTGAGACCCTGGGGTACAATCGTCTAAACTTCTAAAGCACCAGGGCTTTGCATCTAATATCTCAAAGGAGGTTAGGATTGGACTGCGCCTGCAAAGGAGAAAAACCCCTTTGCTGAGCTGTTCAGAAGCAAGTCGCATTGAATTCAGCTTCCTCCTCCCCAATAAAGGCGTTAATTTGCCCGCTGAAATCCATGGGACATTGAAGGCTTGGGGGAGGGGGGGCTCAGAAGGGAAGACCTAGCCGGATCGGAACGGCAAGCTTGGCCCACCAGGCGCCTTCGCCGGCCGAGTCCTCCAGCCGAGTCGAAACCGTTAAGGGAGGTGACCTTTCCTCGTTCATTGATCTCTGATCCTCCCCCCTCCCCTTCCCCTCCCCCCTCCTCGGCTTAAGGCAAAAAGACACGTGGGGGGAGACCCGGCGATCAGAGCAGGCCCAGCGCTCCGGGGGAGAAGGTCCGGCACGCGGCTCTGATCGCCTTTTCGCCTCGTCCCCCCAGTTTCGCCCGAGCTGAAAGAGCGCAAAGAGGATGCCAAAGCGATGGAAGACGAAGGGCAGACGAAAATCAAGCAGCGGCGGAGTCGCACCAATTTCACCTTGGAGCAGCTGAACGAGCTGGAGCGGCTTTTTGACGAGACCCACTACCCGGACGCCTTCATGAGAGAGGAGCTCAGCCAACGGCTGGGACTGTCGGAAGCCCGGGTGCAGGTGAGGCCCGCCCGCCGCTTGCCAAGGGTCTTGGGGTAGCCGCTTCTGGATTCGGGGCTGGTGACGATTTTCCTCTGAAGCATCCCGGGACCGCAGCGCCAGTGGGAGAGTGGGTGGGTGGGGTGGGTGGCATTTGGGTACGAGGGTTGCACTTGCCGGCGGATGCTCCTTTTGGATCCCGGCTGGTTTAATTGTACAGTCAAAAGGAGAGGCCGCCTTTCCCCGGCGACCCTTTGCTTGGCGCAGGAGCCGCGATCCTTTCCGTCAGGAAGCAGCAGCTCCCCGCGAGTGAGCGCGGATTCCCCGCGGAAGGTGCCCTGGCCGCTCCAGATTGGAAAGCTGGAAAGGTTCCTAGGGGTTTGAACGCGCGTCTGAGCTCTTTCGAAAGGCACTTAGAAAGCTAGGAGGGAGATCCGTTGCCGGGATGGGGGCGTCCGCTTAGCGGACCCAGCAGGTCCGACGAGACGCGAGCTTTCGGGTTTTTCTAAAGGAAACGAAGGTAGCTGCACCGATCATGAGTCAGATCCACCCACCTTTAGCACCGCTCAGACTCATTCCGCGGTATAAGCGAGCCTCCCCGTCAACCACATCGGGCGCCTTCCAGAGCTCAGATCTCTTCTTTAAATCGGGGGACCAGAGGCCTTAAGACCGAGTTCCTGTAATTTGCTTGCGGCAGGTTTGATGGAGCGTGGGAGGAGACATTCAAATTAGGCTTCACCTGGAGTGAGATGAATTCAGGTTGTTCCCCCGACTGCCGGAGGAAAGACGTGTTAAATGGTTTTGAAAATCTTGCTTCTATTGTCCCGCTGACAAGCCACTTTCTCCACTTCCTAACCATTACTGTCGTTGTTATCAAGGCTGGGTTGTTTAGTCGGGGTTTATGGAATAAGCCACAATTGGATGGAGTTGGGCAAGATGGGGATCCAAAGCAAAACAAACGACGGAGGGCAAGCCACTGGTGCAAATGTATCCAGAGGTTGTCTGTGAGAGAAGTGAAGATGGAACAAGGTGGGAAGGCAAACCAGGTTTCATGCTGGGCTGAGCTTCCAACTGCAAGCTTAGGCTAGCTGAGTTGTGACTCCATGTGTGAAAATGACCAGCCATTGAATAGAGTTAGTGTATGTGACCTCAGGCAACTGGGTGAAATCAAGTAAATGTTGGTTCAGCAAACCACAATTTAGTTCCTGCAAAGACAACCACTGTGAGTGGGACTCAAATAAGATCTTTCCCATGGCTTCAGTTCTATCATTTCAGGATTTATCTAAGCTTTCCACCTGGAAAAATGTATACGGCCTTACCAAAGTGTACCCAGGCTAGATAGTATAGGCACACACAGAAAGAAAAAAAGGTCTAAAACAGGAACTTGGATGTGTATTTACAGTGTATTTAAAGCTTCCTTCCTTGTAAGCAATTTTAAAAACCTCCAAGAAAGGTGAACGGAAAGGAAGGCTTACACACTGCTCAGTTTAGAGGGTACAAGCAAGTTTTTTTTTTTAAAGAAGCTGTTCTTTTTTTTTTTCTCTTTTCCTACACCTTCCAAATTTTCCTTAAACGGTCCTTGAGCCAAAGTTTTGTAAGCTCACTCCTTTCCTCCGAAGATGCTGGCAAGCCAAACGCCAGATTCGTTTGTCCAGTGTTTGGAGGGAACACTATACCTCTCTATCTGCCGTGATTCCCCAGGAAAACGGACCCCGCCTTTGTGTGAACCCAAGGAGTCGTTTTTAGGCCTTGAACATCTGCAGCTGCTCGCAGAGTAACTGATCCTTTCCCCTCCATCTTGGCGGCATCGGCTGCCATCTGCACCAAACCGGGCTCCACTTTTGAAAGGCTTTCTCTGCATCTTGTAATCGGATCAAGCCAGAATCTGAACAGTCGAGTTTGCAGCAAAGGCAGAAGAGAATCAAACGGGGGCGAGGGTGGGGGTGGGTGGGTGGGTGCAGAAACACAGAGTTTTGGTTTTTTTAAAGATATAACCTAGGGAAAGTTGGAAGAGGAAAAAAAACCCCTCTCTTTGCTTGCCCTTGTTACTCCTTTCTGATTTTCCATTTATCTCCCCTGCTCTTTAAATTGGCAACATAAAACACACTCTTTCAATCATGGGTATCTATATTTTGAATAGTTAAAAATGGAAGGGGAGGAGAGAGAGGGGGAGGGAGGGAGGGGAGAGAGAAAGAGGGAGAGAGGGAGGAAGGGAGAGGGAGAGGGGGAGATAGAGTTGGGAGGAATTAAAGGCTGCTTGATTCCAGAGTAGGGAGGTTTGGTTGCCTCAACAAAAGAATAACTGGCGCTTGGTATAATCCGTAGAGAAGAACTTCCACAGATTTGCATTGATTAGAGTCTGGATCCTTTCAAATGGCCCCAGAAAATGCCTGTGAAGCACTGGCTTTAAGCATCCTTTCCTGCCTGGTTCTCCTTGGCAGATGGCAGGAAGAAGAGCTTGCTAGCTAGTGTGAGCATACTAGAAGAATGAAATCCCAATCTCCAGACCTACTCCTGCTCAGGTTCACGCAGAAGCAATGGCCTTAGATGCTGGTGGGTTTACTCCTGAGTAAAGATATTGAGTCTTGTGGCTATGCTGCTTTGTGTAACTGCACAGGATCCAATTGCTTTGCTGCACCGACTACAGAGAGTTCTCTGGAAGCAAGTCACACGAAATCCGATGGGACCTGTTTCCAGGAAGCAGGCAGGCTGGGCTCCCTTTGCTGCTTTTGCTCAATGGCTGCTGCCCCAGGAAAAGCTAGCAGGAATGGTAGCTTTAGCCTGGAATTCTGGAATCTCTTGCTAGCAACTCCCTGAAAACAAAGTAGTGTCTTTCGCAGACTTGAATGAGTCCCCCATCCCACAGTTGGTTTACATGTCTGTTTCTTTAAAGCCAATAGGCAGTACCCTGAATAAGGTTAGGTCTAGACTCCAGAGCATTTGGGTCATCTCGATGTGTCCTAAGGTGGGTTCTAGGTGTGCAGACATCAGCTCACTTCTTTTCAAACTCGCCCCTCCTTTCAAAGAAAATCTGCAGCGAGATTCTTTTCCCTTTGAAGGACAGCAGGTTTCGGTCACTCCTACCTTCTTACCCTCTCCCTTTACACACTAAAGCCTGGAATCCAACCAATTTAAAGTAGAAATCACTAAAGAAACGGTTCACTTTTAAGCCTTTGCTCAAATGTTAGTCTTTCTGAACTCAATGGATCTTAATAGTATCTTCTTTTGAACTTGCCGGGAGTATGTGTGGGATGGCAGGGGAAGAATAGATATAGGATCAGGCAGTCCAAATTTGTTAAGGGGTAAAGTTCCAACTTTATTCTCCTTCTTCATGCTTTTAAAACTTTTTCTTGCTTTAATATAGCCAGAAATGATATCTTGCCTACTGTGGAGCTGTTTTCACATTTTCTATTTTTTCCCCTAATATGGGAACAAATGAGATTATCATAATAATGAGATCATTATTCTGCTTCTGTATTGCATGCTAGTCCCCAGAGAAAGAGAGCATTTCTCAGCTTCTTTATTATGACACTTTTATGACCCTCCACCTCAAAGTTTGTAATTAAATGCTTTGGTGTTTTGTTTTTCTTACAGAGAAAGCTAATCAATACAACTAGCTTTTAATGAGCTCATTCCTTTTTGAGTTATTTTTAATGTATGTATGTATGTATGTATTTTGTGTAAATATCCAAATATTTCAAACTTTCAGAGTTAGGTCAAATAGAGAAGTTCAACAGGGTTGCCTCTGCAAAGATAAGGCTGTATTGGCAAGAGAGTCAGGAGAGAGAGAGTAATTCTGCTTTGCTAAGGGATAGGAAGGAGCAGGAAGACAGAGATATAGACCTCAGTTTTGATAATCCAAAGACCTGCTAATCAGGCCCCACTACAAATGTCCAACTTGTATTGGATACTCTATTTCCCTTTTAGGCCCTAAAACTATGTAGTAACACATTCTGAGCCTAGGAATTTGCTTTCACTAGGATAAACCCATCAGTTCAGGTCCTCTTTTAATTCCAAACTCTTCTTACCACCACTAAATTCGGAAAGAAAAAAAATGTCATGGCTTCTATTGTTCAACTGAAGGTCAGTGCATTTATCTACTGTAGACATTGTTAAAGTGTTATGGCATCTGAAAGACTTATAGCATAGTTATTAGGGCATAAAGACTCTTGATAGTTTGTGATGCTTGAAAGTTTATGTCATAATAACATTCTTGGCCTTGAAGTTGAAAGCATCACAAGACTCTGTTGCTTTTGTTAAAATCTGGAGTGTTTCCAACTCATCCTCTTGAGGAACACCCCATGCCTTCCTCTTTCCTTTCTGCCCTCCCTGGTTTTAGAGTCCAAATAAATGTCCCTTCTGCTCCATCTAGGTGAGCTTCTTGCATGATAATCCAATTTTCAATATTTGACCATTGCATATGCCTCTGAATCTTAGATTGGAACTTACCTAGCTTTGTCTGGAAGACTCTTTTTTCAAAAATATAAACGGGGGTCACCCTATTAAGTTCATCCATTTTACTTCCTCTTATACCCACATTTTGTGTAAATGTTTAATAGAATTACCAACAACATTTACTCACAAATAAGGTCAATTGACTACAGAGGGACTTCCAGAAAACTGAGTGAAGGAAATAAACCTCACTCTCTCCCAGCTGAAAATCATAGGACTTATAGCAGACATCTAGACACAACTACTAGGAGACAGGACTTACTAAGCACAATAGGATCAATCCCCAGTGAATCTGTATTGGGTTACAGCATTAAAGTGCTTAATAGGCCTGAGATGAAATACATTTCACTCAGAAGGGAAGTAAGAACCATTGATTTTACAGAGGAAAATTTCAATCTATCAGCGTTTACTTGGGATAAATTTCTTTTGAAGAATAGGGATTGCTTCCAAACCATTGGAAATGTTTTCTACCACCATATATGTTTAAAATTCAAGCAAAGTTTCAACCGAAATATGAAAACGTAAAACTAGTTTTCATTTCAACTGGCTTCAGATTTATTGAGAAAGAGTCACATAAACTGTGTGTGTGATTACAAAAAAGTTGATTGATGCATTTTACAATGTTTAGCATGTGTGATAGATATCTTTTACTGTACTATTTCTTAAATAAGTTACTAAAAGTTCTAAAATGTGTAACGTGCATGATGCAAATATTTGACAACTGCAATGTCTGAAAATGAGATAAGCTTTTCAAAAATGAACATTTAAATGGCTTTTTCCACTCTAGATCAACTAGATTATTTAAATATAGAACAGAAAGAGTCCGAACTTTGGACGGTAAGAGTGAGAACTGTGCCTTTCCAACTATGAAGGTGCTTTTGGGATAATGGTAACAACTGAACTTTGATACATATACAGAATCTAGTTCATTGTAAAGGAGAGTGCTTCATTCTACCCTGTGGAACTTGGAGATAGCTTATAGGGAGATTCAGAAATATTTGCTGTTCTTCCAACATTTGTAGATGTTACAGTTGACTGGTGATCCTTGTGATGCAATCATACCCAGGCTTATTCAAAAAGGAATGCAGCTGTGTTTCATGGGATTTACTGTTAGATGGGGCAGCCTGAGGAGAGTCCAAAGTTGGGCAAATAATTGCAGTGTGCAGCTAGGGAAAAGATCTGAAAGTTCTCTAGAGACCAGATTTAGATGGAAAAGGGCTGGGCGTAGCAAACAGGAAGGGAAGAAGAATCTCTGCTTACAAAATGCAGCTTTCCTGAAATAAACATGGCATCAGAGAAAGATCACTTAATATATATAGTTGTGGCTTTATATTGACTTGTTTGCTTTTCTCCCTGTTTGTCTGCCCAGGTCTGGTTTCAGAACAGAAGAGCTAAATGCAGAAAGCAAGAAAACCAGCTCCATAAAGGTACGTATGTGAAATGAAGCCAAAGGGGCTTTTGCCATAGACATGCCTTCTTTAATTACTGAGCTCTTGAGTGTCTTGCCTGGTTTGGGTGCTATAATCTCTATTGAACTTTCCTAACATTGCAGCTTTCTGCACATTTATCAGCCTGATTTCATGGGATACAAGGGGACTCTTCCTTCAGTGCAAAAGTACATAGGATGGTGCCACTTGGGATAACATCAAGAGGAGCAGGGAAGCTATTTGCCCAGGACTGCGGGGATGGAAGCAATCAGAAAAAGTCTTTTTTGTCTTGCACCTGAGCCCAAATGGCCTAAATGCAGGCACTAATCATTTTAGCTTAATATCTTCAAGTTCTGCTTTTCTCTTCCCTATTATGGCTGGGAGACTCTAAGGATTAAAAGTGGACTGTGATTCAATTCTTGTTTGTTTCAGGGGTCCTCATTGGAGCAGCAAGCCAGTTTGAAGCATGCCGAGTTGCTCCCTACGTGAATGTTGGGGCTTTGCGGATGCCTTTCCAGCAGGCAAGTAGAAGGGCCAGCCGTGGGCATCTCTTGAGACCGAGGGGCCACCAGTAGCTCCCATTCCTTTCCTGTAATTCTCTCCATCTTGCTCTTTGGAGACAGAAGCCCTGGACACTTTTTTTGCTGAAATCAAATGCCACAATTTCCTTCTGCAGGGGAAAGGGAGAGGTGTAGAGGATGAGAACAAATCTTCCTTGCATCTGTGGAAGATCTGCAGATCATTCTAAACTTCTGCATGACTGTATTGAAACAATCATCATTTAATTGCCCTGCCAGGGTACTCAGGTTTGCTGTGGAAAGCTCTTCAAATGAAAACAAACAAACAAGCAAACAAAAAAAATTAAAATGGGAAAACTTTTCTCCCTGCTTTGATTTTGCTAGGATCCAGTTCTCATGGCTGTAATCTCAAAGAACCAGGGGGGCTGGATTGGAATAGAGCAATCAGGGATCTGGAAAGATGCCAAAATTGTGAAGCCAAATTTGGCAAGTTCATTCAGGACATAAGCCTGAGAGCCAAGACCATTTTTATCCATATTACCTGGAGAAGATTGCATTATGTGTTCAAGGAGGTTTTACTTGCAGATACTATTAAAAGGAACAATCTCTGTGTGAACCAGGCATGTTTAATCAGATAAAGTCCCATGAATTTAATGCAGTGAAGCTAGTAAGGCCAATTAGAAAGGCCACCCTTGATGCAGCCACAGAGTGCTCCAAAGAATTGAGTTTTGCTATTCTCATTGGAAACAAGGGTAGGCATCAAGACTGAATGTGCATATCCTAATTTTGATAGAATGATATTTGCAGGATTAAACAAAACAAAAAAGCACAACTGGCAAAGTTCTACAAATAGAATTCTATTTTAAATAGTTTAATTTATATTCTTGCTGTCAGCTGAAAATAGTGTTTAATGTGCTTTTAAAAAACCCATATAATCTCTCCCCCCCCCTTGGAAATTCCCTTTTAAACAATCTATGATTGGTGAATGAAGGAAAGCCTGACAACCCTGTTTCTAAACATGTTGGGCTCTTGCCCAGCCTAGTTGATCATCTTAAGACATTGATTTCTGGGGCTTCTGTCTCTAAATCATGGCCATTACTTCGAAATAACTCTAGTTGATTTCCAGGGGATTTATAATGGATGTATTAGAAATAGCATCTTGGAGCCATAAAGCCAGAAGGTTTTTAATGACTTGTGCTCAGTCCAAATGAAAGTTGTCCTCCTCAGGTTTGCTGCTAGTAATGGTATACTCCAGATGGTGCACACCCATTAAATAATTGTGGACAGATCATTCTTTTCGAACCTTTGTTCAGCCTTTCCTAACCTGGCACTTTCTAAATGTGATTGGACTACATTTCCCAGAATTCCCAATCAGCACAGGTAGCCAATCCTGGTGGGAATTCTGCTAGTCGTAGATTGAACGACCAGTCAATACAAAGTTAGAAAAAACAGCCTTATCTCAATATACATGAAATTCAATGCTTTTTAATTTTTTTATTGAATATACATAGATTTTGACTTTCAGGCCTTTTGTATAGGATTAAATATTCTTAGATGCATCAGAAAGAAAAACTATCAAAAAAGGGTGGCCGGTATCCATGATATTCATTAACAACACAGCAAACCTCTTTAAAGCTCCAAACAGTTATAATTAGAATCTGTGTAAATCATACTTTTACAAAATTCAGGCAAAATGATGACTAGAACCATAAATATCTTCAGCCTTTAAAGAACTCGGAGAAAAGGCAAGAGATAAAAGTATAGTGTTGGAATTTGTACCTACTTGTTTGGTGTTCTTTAGGGTTATAGTACTCAACTCAATAATATTTAGGCAGCCTAAATATTACCATAATATGTATGAATTAAGAATTAGCAAAACACATATATAATTTCCCCATATTAAAAGTATTTTGAAAAAAAAAATCAGAATGGATAGTCGTAATACCAATCAAGCACATTTATTAGAATCAAAAGCCTATGGTTTAATAGCTAGGAAGACAATTAACTACATTTTAGCCAATTTGCCATCACTCCGTACGGTTAGCTAAATAGCACATATACCATTTGGCAGCTGCCACAGAAATAAAACAGTAACAGTACCAGAAGCTCTAAACCAACATTTTTGTGCTTAATATGTGTAATGAACATATTATAAGCAGATAGACCAGTCAATCAATGCAAGATTCAGCAAACCCATCAGCAGAAGAAACCAATCAATGAAGCAATGCATTTCTGAGTTCAGGCAATCAGTATTCCTGTGTCCATCCGGCATCTTGGATAATAACCCCCAAAAAAATATTTAAAGCTTTCTTTAACACCTCCCTCCAAACCTCCCCACCACCACTAAACATAATATTAAACAACACTCAGGTATGGCTCTGTACTGCTCAGCTTTGAAACAAAAGAGCTAGTTCACCCATACTAGACTAGAATAAAATGAAATTTGTGGTCAACATATTTGGAACGTGTGACATTAACCAGACTGTCACATAAAGCTGCCACAAAATTCATTTGATTTGATGTTACATGGGCCAATAATTGTGTTTTGCTAATGCTTTAGGTTTGGCGTGATACATGATCCTAGGTAAGAAGAAATGAATAGATTATTTCCTGGCACTAGATCTGTTTTAGCTCCCCAGCCATTTTTATTCTGAAAGCTGAGCTTTTTTTCTTCTCTTCTTGGCTTACCCTTGACTAGATGATAGTCATTCTGGTGACTGTTTGTCTAAAGACTATATACTAGCTGTTCATGTCATTTACTCCAGCTAGACAGAAAGCTGTGTAAATATCTTCGAATATTTAGAGCCTGCTCTGCAAAAGCTCAAAACAGCCTTGACCTGTTGTTATGGATGTTATGTACCTGTTTTGAGACTCAGCCAAGTACTGTGAGAGCACTTCTGCAACCTTGCTATTTACTTCAGGTGCTCTTATTGTGCTTTTCTGAATGTGATGACTTGGAGGTTTCATATGTTGTGAGTAGCTTGAAGAGTTTGCTAAAACAGATAGATGCAAAGCTGTAAAAGCATCTGCTTAAGAGCAAGCCCCATTAAATGCTGCCTCTTCCAGCTTTGAGGATGTACCAATACAAGCTATAAATGTTATGTATGCATTACTCAGAAGCGAGGCTTGTATTCAATGGGGCTTATTCCCAATGAAATATATTATGGTTTTGCTACCTGATAGCTAGTCCCAGGCAAGCTGAACTGAACTTTAACTCTCCCTACCCACCACAACACAATTTTTTAAGGAATTATTAAATTTTCTTTGCCAGAAAATAAACCCAGCACTCTGCACAACTTGTTCAGGGCTTCACTTACAGATAAAAAGGTGGAATTTAGGAAAGGCATGGATTTTTCTCATTTTAATTTGTCCTCCTCTTCTTCCAAAAAACAGGGAGAGGGGGAAGAGAGAGAGAAAAACCTTCTCTGCCTTCTCTGTATATGAAGTCCCAGGTCACCTAGCACCACAATATCATTTGTTTGGCCTTGGCTTTCCCTGTTGTGTGAACTTTGGCGCTGTAAATGTGTAAACAAACAGTGCTTAATGAGGCAGCAACCTGGTTCTGTACATCATGGTTTAATAAACAAATAAAGACACCTGGTTGGGTTCACTCCTGCTAAGGCCTAGGCTAGTTCTTTTGATGGGGCTGAAGGTCAGAGTTTACCTTGGTTGGGCAAATCCCAACCAAGTCGGCTAACTTCTCCCTTTCCTCAGGAAACACCCCACCCCACCCCACCCCGAGAAGTGGGTGCGCGCGCTGAAGGGCGGGGGAGTGGGGGGCCCCCAATGGCTGGGCGGTCCGTTAACGCTCTTGTCTCTCTCCATTCTCGTTACACCTTTTAGGATAGTCATTGCAACGTGACGCCCTTGTCCTTTCAGGTGCAGGCACAGCTGCAGCTGGACAGCGCCGTGGCGCACGCGCACCACCACCTCCACCCGCACCTGGCGGCGCACGCGCCCTACATGATGTTCCCGGCCCCGCCCTTCGGCCTGCCCTTGGCCACCCTGGCGGCGGAGTCGGCCTCGGCCGCTTCAGTGGTGGCCGCAGCCGCGGCGGCCAAGACCACCAGCAAGAACTCGAGCATCGCGGACCTCAGACTCAAAGCCAAAAAGCACGCGGCCGCGCTGGGCCTGTGACTCTTCGGGCCCCGTGGCCATCCCACCACCGCAGGCAGCAGCGCGGGGACCCGGGGGGCAGGCTCTCCGGACCGACGCCCCCGCCACCCTCCCGCGCTCCGCTTTCTGACAGAGGCCGACTTTGGCGCCTCAGGAGCGAGGCCAAGCCCGAGAGCGCCTGCGCGGCTTCCAAACTGAGGGGTTTTAGCCTCCAAGACACCCGGTCCGGGGACCCCGACGCAGCGGCCTGGGCGGGAAACTCACTTCTGAGGAAACGTCTTTGACCGAGGGGAGTTGAGGGCAAAATGTCTGCCTTCCCGCTCCGGCTGATCAAGCGAGAAGAAGAGGAGGGCGGCGACGACGGCAGGCGACTCCCTCGTAAAACGGAGAGGGGAGCGCAAAGGGGCTGACTGAGAAAAGCGCGCGAAGGACTGTGTGTTAGGCGCGCAGCTGGGAAGTTCACAGGTTTTGAAACGGACCCTTTTTTTTCCTGCGAAGTTCACTTTAATGCGAGGAAAGTGGATCTAAGAGAGGCGGGCCTCCTTTCACGTTGCATCGGATAAAGCTGGAGCTCGAGCAGCTACGAACTTAGAAGTTGGAGATGGGGGGGGGAAGGAAGAGGGAGGAGGAGGAGGAGAGAGGGAGGGGAAAGGAAGACGCGCGGTTCTTTCTCTCCCCCCTTTTTTTTCTTCCCCCAAAGCTAAAACAAGTCGGAATATTTTGCTAGGGTTTGCATGGGGTTCGGTTAATTATTATTATTATTATTTTTTAAACTTCTTGGCGTCCCTTGTTTGCATCGCATCCGAAATCTTGGAGGAGAACGAAATCTGTCAGGGAAAGAAGCACGCCGCGCCCGAGTTAACGAGAGAGGGGTCGGGAGGGAGACCTCGCCATGCAATGCAATGCAGAGAAAGGGGGCGCTCCTGGTCGCCTTCCCGATCCCATCGAAAGCAATGGGCCATGTGTGAGAGACATCCCTCCCCCCCCGCCAACAGCACTCAAGCCCTGGTCGCTTAAGACTCCGCTGATCTTTGACTTGGGTGTCTGCAGGAGATGGTCAAAAAAGTCAAAATCGCGACGGTGCGATCGCAAGCCCCGCCTGCCTTCTACAAGTCGCCATATTGACTTTTTTGACCATCTCTTGCAGACAACAGCACCCCCCCCCCGCGATAAGTTTAATTGAGGACACTGACTTATTTTCCAAAAGACATGGCAAGAATCATGATTCCTTGGAGCCTGTTTGCCCCATCCCTGTTTTTGGTTCAAACATCCAGCCTCCTATAAGAGTTCTAAGAAAAGATAAAATTCTAATAAAGCCACGATTACGTTATCAATTTCGGACCGCTCCCCCCCCCAGCCCCACGCCGAGGCTGCCTTCATTTTCACAACCTCTCATTGAGATCGACAGGATCCGTGGCCAACAGCTCTCATCCCATTGATTTCAATGGGATTTCTATGTAGCTTGTTTCTCGGGTGAAGCTTGTTTGGCTGTCGGATTTCTAGTAACCTTGGGTGTCTTCCTCCTCTCTTCGCTGTACGGACGGAAGGGTATCCACGGCCATCCGTAAGGCCATCTCTAATAATGGCAGGGGGTACGAAGTATATTTTTTAAAAAAGAAAGATACTGGTGCACAAAAGCATTTATTTCGGCGATGGTAAATAATTGGTGAGTTGAGTGTTCCGTCAAACCTTTCGATCCGATCTCATAAAGGTGCATCCATCCCCGTAACCTTGTGATGTTACATAATCTATATCAATGTATTTTTTTTCTTTTCTGAAGAAATATAAATATAAATATATATATATAGCGGTAATCTGAGCGGCCGCGAAATAGCCGGTCCGTCCGTTCGCTCCAAGCCAGAGCTGCTCGCTCTCTTTTTGCCAAGAAAAATGAAACGGAGAGGGGAGAGAAATCTCTTTTGCCAGTTGAACTCTGCTAGGAACAGAGCTTTATAATTATTTGTTCTCCATGAAAACAAAACAAAACAAATTATTTATAATGACCGTATTTTTTCTAGTGTATTTTAAGTTATTGAGGGGAAAAGAAAATGTGGCCAAGAAGAAAGAAACGCTGATATTTTATTTCCGTGTTGTCGGCACGAGAGTTTGTTCCACTCAGGTTTGCTTCGCTTTTATTTGTTCATTGTCGACGTCACAGTTTTCAATAAGTGCCAAGTTATGAATTAAGACACTTTGCAATCTATTGAATGGGAAAAAAAAATGAGAAAGTAAAATTTTAATTGATGGTTTCGCACAACTTTTGTTCCTGATCCTATTAAATCAATAGTGCCATTCTACCTTTTCAAATTTATTTCCCCCTTCTTTTATCTTCTTGGGATTCCTGCTTCCTGTGTGTTTAAGTGTGGTTACTTACATATTACTTTCTGCAAACTTTAGAGAGCAACCAAATCTGTCAAAGGGAGGTTGGCCCTTCATCCCCTCATATCTTTATATTCCTGATTTTCAAAATGTGACTTTCTTCCCGATCTCTTTGGTTGATGTTTTTCCTCCACAGGAAAAAAAATCTATGCTATTGTATAGCAGGGTTCAACAATTCCTCACGCACAATGCAATCCTATAAATTCCAATTCCAGAAAATAAATCCATGGGTTCCCTTGATAATTTCTTCCTGATACTTAGGATCACAAATTTAGGGCTGAATCTAATTATACTGTAGGGTTCGCTTGCATGCCTTTTCCTTCTGTTGGAGATGTTGGAAAGTTAGAAAATCCAAGAGGTTCTTTCCGTTAAAAGAATCTCTCTTGGGGGAAGGAGTGGGGTAAATAGTTTATTTTACTTCTACAGTTGTTATCCTTGATGCTAATTACACAGAATGAAACAATTTGGTTCTATTGATTCTGCAGAAAGATGTCCCACAAACCCGTTATAAATGCGATCCCTAGGGATCTTCCTCACTAAATCCCACTGCCTCAATATCATCCCCAGTAGAAGTGGATCGGGTAATCTCCCATAGGAGCAAAAATATAATCGAAAGCTGAATTCGCTTTCCTGGAAAAGGGCTTCCCCAACGTTTGATGGGACGTATTTTGCCTGGGAATTTAGGGTTAGGGCAGCGCTCAATCAGATCCAGGGCATAAAATCGGGCTGCAATTCAGTTATAGTAACCAGTTTTCGTTGAAGGGACCCCTGAGGGAAATCAAGGGCGATCGGGATAAAGGGCGATTTCCGGCAAACCCCTGCGCGCTTCGGCAGTAGCCGGCGTCACGAGGCAGGCAAAGCCAAAATCCAGTAACTATCACGATTCAGTGTATCGTGTGGATTCAAACCTCATGATTATTTCAATAAACCACGATGAAACAATGTTGGTTCGGGGACAACTAAGTCGGGCGCTATCGAAATCTCTGCTCTTGAGTAAGCCGCGCAGAATCCAAGGCTCCCTCTTTCACTTCCACTGGGACTTGTAAGGGTTAGCCACTTCGATCGTTCCCACTTAGGGGAAGGTGTGACCGGCATTTCTGAACAACGGGTCGTGTTATATTATTTATATTTACCAAATAAGTCGGCATTCTCGTGGTTGCGAGAGGTTTTCCTGCACATTATCTCCGGGGTCAAAGCATTTTAGGCCTGCCGCGGGAGGAAGCGTACCAAAACACCCAGCTAGCATCTTCTGCCGCCGCTCGCACATACAGAAAAGGAAGGATTAATAGACCCAGTCACTCCGAAGCTCCTTGGGCCCTTGTTTAGGCAGCAATCCTAGCCACGTTCCCTTGGACACATTTCATTCTGGACCCCGTGGTCATGTTCATTAGAACCTAACATGACTCCCATGTTGACTGAATGTCGGTCTTGGGTTGTAGTGCCCATTGACTTGAATCAGTCTGATTTTTCAATGTATCCTGCAGGAAGGACACGCGTGTATATACACCAGTATGCTTCAAACTTGTGGCACAATCCCCATAATTTCTTGACAATTTGGCCGAAGGAATGAATCCTAGCTGGTTATCATGACAGCTGAAGTCCAAGATAGCCTTGATGTCTGGGAGGTTGAGAAAAATTGGGACACATACGGTATAAGAAATAATATAATAGTGGCTTGGGACACGGGTTGTTTTTCCTAAAGGTAGACAGAATCAAGATTTCATGGGGAGGGGGAAAGATGGAATCTAGAACGATCTGGAAAATGAGGGATGATGCATGGGCCATCTAAACAAATCCCAGAAATCCAGCAGGATCTGATTTTGGTGGCTTCTGAATCATTCCCCCTCTCCTCCGAAAACACAAGGCAGCCTTTGGTTCGCAGGATTACCACGGTTTTGTTCTTCCTTCTCTGTCTGACTTCTCGAGAGGAGATAGTAGATCCAAGATCCAAGAAGAAGTGGTCTCACCCACACTCCTGTCCTGTCCTGTCCTGTCCTGCCCCGCCCCACAACTCCTCTGCATTTTTTTCAATAAACCCATTCTCATTATCCACCATTTCATTTGGCCACTCAAGCCCCCCTCTCGCAGTCTTTCCCCCATCTGGATACTTCTCAAATCCATTGGAAGACAACGCCATTATTCCTATCCTTGTTAGTCTATTGAGAGCGGGCCTCTATCCAAGAAGGGTGACTTGGTGGGCGAAGGGAACCTCAGATTGCAAACCTTGCAATCTTTCTTCACGTCCAAATGAGTCTCGAATTGGCATGTCTCCATGAACCGCAAACCAGGAAGCGATTTAAGTAACTCGTGGGAAAGTCGCCTGCCGAAGTCAACCTTCGAAGGACGGAACCTTGTTGATATTTGCGATCGGCTCAGACTCGAGCAACGCAAGCTTTGTGGGACGATTAGAAAGCTTTGAAGAAAGAGAACCCACAACACAAAACGTCTAATAAAATTAGCAACTGAAACAGCCAAACACCCACGCATGAATATAACACACACCTGTATGGATGTGCCATCACTCTGTTTTGATGTAACACTGACTTTCAAACGTCGGGCAGTAAGCAGTGCTTTATTTTAGTTCAGTGTATTTATCTCGCCAATGCCAAGATCATAGCATATCCCCTGTCCATTCACCCAAGAGTAACTCACCTGACCCAGCGGACTTTATTCCCCATCGGGAATAAGACATTAGGCTGATATCACTGATACATCGAATGTTGCTTTGATTGGAGCGAATCCTATTATCGGAGTAATAAACCTAGGCTCCATGGATATATGAACCCCGAAATATTCTTGGCATGTCTCCTCGGAGGTAAGGCCTTTTGTGTTCCCTTCATATTTGGGACTTCGGCGAAACGGAGGGAACCAATTTAACCTAAACATTATTAAGATCAAGGAGGCTTGAGAGGATCAAGGAGGCTTGAGAGGAAATCCAAACGGCTCTTCCTCTAATATCCCGATGCATTCCTTCCTTTCTGGGATTCAGAAATAGTTCGGATCAATTTGTTTTCAGGAGAAACCGAAATCAGTCTCGGGTTGCTTTTAAAAACGCTGGAACTACCCGCAGAGGAATGCTTCGGAATCCCCTCTCGTATTACAGCCCTGTTAACTGCAGCGCAGTCGAATCCACAACATCCCGCAAAAATGAGCGAAATGTTCAAACTGTGCTTGCTTGAAAGTCCCCTTGACTTTTGAGCAAGTACTTACAGGATTGCTGACGGGGAGTC